CCTCCTGGACAGGCGGGGATAGAACTCATGCGGAAGCGGCTTTAGATTCTCAGTGCTGTGCTTTAACCCGCTGCGCCACCAGGGAGGGCCTTCAATAACTTTTAAGAGTTTAAATGTTCTGAAGCCAGAGAATTTGAAAACTATTACTATAAGAAACACCAAGATGACTGGCTACCTAGAACCCTCAAGAGTATCCATGTTTTAGAATAGCAGGTTTTTTCCAAATAAAATACTACCCCAACCAACACTACTTCAACATTGCAACATTTATGTATTTTCAGTATATTGATCTATCTTTTTGAACAGATAGTACCAAAAAGAAAATGCTCATTTTATTATTATAAACATTAGGTATTTTGCAGGTTTAAAATATAGCTCTAAATGCATTATCTTGTGTCATGTATCTTTTTACTTCATTTGACAATTTTTTTTTCAGAATTCACTTGTACTACACAGTATTTAAACTTTGGAAATAATAAGGATGATTTTATCTGTTTCCTAAGTGTCAAGAGGTTCAATCCAACCAAAGAAACACCTGGCCTTTAAACAGTAGTTTTATGATCAATGATTTGGGAGTTAGGAACACTATGAAAACACAGATCATACAACAATTTACCTGAGTAGATGGGGTCTGGGTAGCAAGAGGAGGGGGAAAGAATGGTGTAGGAAATGATAAGAGATAGAGGTATTTGAAGTAGACCTTTAAGATAGAAAGAAATTAGTCAGATGAGAGGAAGGCAGAAAAAAACTACATCAGCAGAAGCATGGAAATTTGAAAATGTTGCTTATCAGTTAGACTGCTGGTTTCTGAAGCCTGATCAATCAAAAATTGAATTTTGGAGCATTCCTGGTGGTACAAAGGGTTAAGACACAGCATTATGAAGCTATCCAAAGCCACTGCAGCACAGAGTTTGATCCCCGGCCAGGGAGATGACCCACATGGCGCAGACCTCTCCTGTCTTGCCCACTGCTTCCCTCAGCAGTGTATTTCAGTCAGTCTGCCTGTCCTGCTCCCCAGTCTGTCTCTGGTGAATTCCCTCAATTCCCCCACATCTCCTGTATGCATAAATAAATAAACCTTTAAAAAAGTTGAATTGTGTTAAAAGTGATTAAAATTAGCATAAACAAGGTCTGTGCATGGATTTGAACAATTCCCTATGGAATTACTGTAACATTAGTACATGGGCCTATTTTGAAATCTTCTGATTGCTTTCAGGGTATCTGGTTGGTTCCAGCTGGAAACTACCATGCAGAAATGACACTTCTTAAAATCTTATCTTTCTAACATGTATTAACATGTCATTTTCAAAACTATCTTTCATTTAATTCATGAAAACAGAAAATTAAACTTACTTAAAACAGACTTTAAAGCACTACTACAAAGCAAACCTCAATAATGATTAGCTAAAAACCTTGAGAGTATATTATTTACTGTAAAAGGCTAATAAATACAGAATAATAAAAAAAAAAAAAGCTGTGGGGAAAAAAATCACAGGTTACTCTTAACAAAAGATTTCTCCCAGTGTAAGCATTATTACCATCTTTCTGCCAAGCTGTAAAATAGTATTTTATAAAAAAAAAATAAAATGTTTTTATTCCAGAAGAAGTACAACTTGTTTCATATTTTTGCTCATACTGGATTTCTTTGCCTTAGAACAACTTACACACTAAATCTTTCCTGTTTTTAAACTTTCACACTGTCTGGGAGAACTGCAGAAGATGTATAATAGGTAAACTCCCAACCGCAACATGATACCTTAAGTTCTCAGGGACTCAGTTTCCTCAAAACCAAAACCAAATATTTGGACTGGATGATCTCTAATGTCCCTTCCAATTTTATGATTCTGCAGAGGAAGAAATCACGCTGAACAGAGTGCCATACAGCCCAAAGCAAAAAAAGAGAAGAGACAAAGTTAAGTACTCAAAGACTGAAAAAGCACAAGAGAAAGGTAAATAGAGTTATGGGGAGTTAAGACTCGAAGCAACAAATAATATCTAAAGCAGCAAATTAGCAGCTGAAGCAATCAATTAAAAGGGGTTGTGAGTTTGAGAGAATAGTGAAGGCAGATGAAAGGAGTAGGAGAATAAGTTTTGGAAGTCACATTATATAAAGCTGAAAAGAAACTGAAGTCATATTTTAATTTCTGCAGATTTCTCAATAAACAAAGAAACTATGAAGAATATATGTCAGGAACTGAAAAGAGGAATAGCTTCTTTTCACTAAAAGTGAAAATGTATAAAAAGACAACCAAGCCTCCATTCAAGACCTATGAGGGAACTAAAAGGGGAAAAAAAAAATCACTTAGAATTACATACTTTGAGCAGTTTGAACAAGTTCTCTTGGAAAGAGCTGGTAAACTGGCAGATGAAATGTGTTCAGAGATGCACAGTGTAGAGCAGAAGAGCTGAGTAGATCCTTTCCTCTGATAAGCAGTTTGCCCCTTTTGGAGGACTTTTTTACAACCAGAACAGGAGACCTGAATAGTTGTGGTTGAAACTGAAGGAAGCATTTTATTCATGCCAGATGATGCCAGAGAAAGTTGAATGCCTGTAGTCAACTGTGAAGCTATACACATAAAACAGGGGGGAAAAAAAGTACTTACATAAAATTAAGCATGCATTATTTAATTTCTTTCCTAAATTACTTTTCTTGAACTTGAAACAAACAACGCACTATCAAAGGTATTCTAAAAACTTAGAATAAACTGGCTCTCATACTGGTTAGGATAAATATGATTAACTTAAAAAATTCTATTACCACTGTCTGAAAACGTAGTGCTTATTTTCAGTTCATTATCCTGAGTTTTGGGTTGTTGGGCTTGACAATAATCCTAAAAAAGAGTTGGAAATAATGAATACAATGTATTTAAGAAACCAGTCATACAGTAGAGTGAAAGATTATGCTCAAGTCTGTTCAGTGAGTTATACAATTGAATTGAAGCATGGTACATGCTGTACCATAATAACGAAGCATAATATTCCTTACTAGCCAAATAGCATTCCCCTTTTGGTGCTATTTGGCTAGTAACATGATTAGTAGTCATACTCAATGAGATCTATTTTTCTTACTTGTTCTAAACATCATCTAATTGTTAATTTACAAAGGTAACAATTTCATAAAGACTTTAAAACACAGTAATTGTTAGATTGGGCTTTCTAGATGGACACAACCATTCTCTAGAGTCTTCCACTCAATGGGTAACTTAATATCCTTACTTAATACTGATTTACTTAATGTCATCTCTAAAAAGAATACTAGAAGTTAGGGCCTCCCTGGTGGCACAAGGGGTTAAGTCTCAATACTTACAAAGCTGAGTCTGAGTTCAATTCTGGTGAGGGAGCTAACCCATGAAGCGCAGCAGAAGTCTTTTGTCTTGCTCACTGCTCCCCTCAGCGGTGTATTTCAGCAGATTCATCTGTTCTGCTCCCCACTCTGTCTCTGGTGAGTCCTCTCACCACCCTACCCCTGCACCTCTGACTATACCCCAGTTCATGTATTCATAAAAAAAAAAAAAAAAAAAAGGTACTGGGCCTTCACTGGTGGCACAATGGGTAAAGTGCAGCACTATGAACAGACACTACAGCTCCAATTTATCCCTGGTCAGGGAGGTGACCCACATGGCACAGCAGACCTCTCCTGGCCTGTCTACTCCTTCCATCAGCAGTGTATTTCAGTCAGTCTGCCTGTCCTACTCCCCACTCTGTTTCTAGTGTATCCTTTCACTCCCCTGCACCTTGCCTTGTACCCCAGTTCTTGCATGCATAAATAAATAAATCTTTAAAAAAAAAAAGTACCAAGTTTAGTTAAACCCATAATATCCTAAGTAACCCTTTCATCAATCCAAATTTCAAACACAGCATTCTTCCCTCAAATTACTTTCTTACATATAAGTATGTATTTATGATATTTAACCCCACACCTTACATTTTTTGACTACTTTGGGGGAGATAAAAATTTAAGATTTTTAAAAAATTTATTTATTTATGCATACAGAACTGAAGTACAGTACAGAATTGCAGGGGCAGCCAGGAGATTCACCAGAGACAGAGTGGGGAGCAGAACAGACAAACTGATGAAGTACACTGCTGAGGGGAGCAGTAGGTGAGACAGAAGAGGTCTGCTGCACCATGTGCATCATCACCTCCTTAGCTGGGGATTAAACTTGTGCTGAAGCAGTTGTGGCTAGTTTCATAGTGATATGCTTTAATCTGTTGTGTCACCGGGGAGGGCACGGATTTAAGATTTTCAACCAATTGAGCCGTAAGCGCATAACTAAAGCATACAACACTGTTATAGAAAATAAGATAAAATATTTACCTGAGTGTTGTCCGGTTCCATCTTAATTTCATTCAGATTTCCCAGTTGTGGTGCCACTACTTTGTCACATTCACCATCTATCAGTGATTCTTTCATTTTAGTATCTGATGTAAGGAATCATCCAATTCCAAACTAGCAGGTGTCTTCTTCGGGAACAGTTTCCATGTTCTTAAAATAAAATGTGAATTAATAACGAATCTGATTTAATTTTTTTTCTTCTTTTAACTATGGTAATTTACTGGAAGCCTAAAGTGTCTTTAGGACAGTTCAGTGTCAAGATTCCTTCACAACAAGTTAAAGCACAGCACTATGAAGCCATCTGCAGCTACTGCAGCACAAGTTCAATCCCCAGCTAGGGAGCTAACCCACATGGCAAGGTAGACCTCTCCTGCCTTGCCCACTGCTTCCCTCAGCAGTGTACTTTGTCAATCCGCCTGTTCCGCTCCCCACTCTGTGTGGTGAATCCTCTCACCCCCTCACCTCTGGCCTATACCCAGTTCTTGTATGCATAAATTAAAAAATCTTTTTTAAAAATTCCTTCACAGGGTCCCCCCTGGTGGCGCAAGGAGTTAAAATGCAGTACTATGAAGCTATCCAAAGCCAATGGCCAGGAAGCAGACTTCTTCTGTCCCACCTGCTGCTCCCTTCAGCAGTGTATTTCAGTCAAAATCTGCCTGTCTGATCCCTACTCTGTCTCTGGTAACTCCTCTCCCACCCACATATCTGGTCTGTACTCCAGCTCTTCTATGCATAAATAATCTTTTTTTTGCAGAGCTAAAAACAGTATTGAAATTAAAATTCAGTAAACAAAAAAAGTATTTGGTAAAGACCTGTACTTGCAGTTGAGACTCCAGGGGGCCATGCTTAGGAGAGTGACACCCCAGGAGAAAAGGTCACTTCCTGGCAGATAAGGTCACCAAAATACATCAGTTATCAGCCCTAATAAGGCTTAGTAATTCTGACTTTCCACAGGAGCTATGTAAACTGTTACCTGCCTATACTATTTGCCTTCCTAAACAAATTTAGTCCCTTTGGAGGAAATGCACCAAGTTTCTAAACTTATTTCAGCCTGCTGTCTAGTATACAATAAAAATATATGGGGAAACAGGTGAGAAAATAATGATAATGATGAACAGCTATACACCAGAGACATTTTGCGGGGGTGGAATGGGGAACGGGATCAAAAACAGTGGGAAATCACTGGACTATGGTGATGGCACATTGGTGATGGGAAACCCAAGGGGAGTGCAACTGAAATGGAAAAATGCACACAAATATGTAAAAATAAACTACTATAAAATTAAAAAATATATATATATATAAAAAGCAAAACTGACTAGAAACCAAGGGGGAAAAGAAAACAGAAACAGATCTGTAGTTGGCTCAAATTGATATTATTAGGGAAGGACTTTGGTATGTTTGAGAATACAGAGAAAAAGATGCAGTTGAGTAGAAAGTCACGTAAATTTGAGAACTGAAAGTAAAATAGATAATTAAGAATCAGGCCCACCCTGGTGGTGCAAAGGGTTAAAGTACAGCACTATGAAGCTATCTGCAGCCACTGCAGCACCCACAAGGTACAGCAGACCTCTCCTGCCCACCCCCCTACCCCCCACTCCCCTCAGAATTGTCTTTCAGTCAACCTGCTCATTCTGCTCCCCACTCTGTCACTGGTGAATCCTCTCACCTCCCGCACCTCTGGGCTGTACCTATTCTTGTGTGTATAAACAAATAGTTAAAAAAATAATAATTCAACAGATGAATTTGATATCAAATTAGCAGACTAGAATTAGTAGAAAGTAGAATTAGTAGAAAGTAAAAATATATATAATTCAGGATTGGTAGGATATGGCAAAAAGATCTAATACATATGTAAACAGAATCCTAGAAAAAAGAGAAAACAGACAATACAAAAGAGAGAATATTTGAAACTGAACAACTTCATCCAAATGAAGAAAGCCATCAAACCATGTGAATTCTAGGAGCTCTATGAATGTCCATACAAAATAAACATATAACTACCCATGTCATTGTCACACCAGTGAAAACCAAAAATTGAAGGCAAATCTTAACAGCAGGTAAGGAAAAAAGAGTTATTAACATACAGTTAAACAAATACAAGAAAAAAATAATTAAGCCCAGAAGGCAATGGATTATCTTTAAAATGCTGGGGGAAAAAATACACCTAAAATTCTGTGGTTGGTAAAAATATCCCTCAAAGATGAAGATAAAGATATTTTCAGATATATGGAGATCTGGTATAAAGATTGGAAAGAAAGAAGTAAACCATCTTTACTTGTGGACAACACAGCTGTGTATATAAAAACTGCTAAAAAATTGTCTCTTTTCCCCCAATAAAAAACTACTAGAATAAATCAATTTAGAGGGGTCATAGGATAATATAAGATCAATATTTAAAAAATTTTTTCTCTCATCACTTCCCTTTATCATTGTACTAGAGGCTCCAGTCAGATCAGTAATGCAAGAATAGGGGCCTCTCTGGTGGCACAGAGATTAAAGAGACAGGGTTATCAAGCTATCACTAGTCACTGGAGGGTCCTCCATCCCCAGATGATCACCAGATGATACCCTGAAGGCCAGGGAGCTTACCCACCCATGTTGCAGTAGGCCTCCTCTGTATTCCCCACTGCTCCCTTCAGCTGTGTATTTCAGTAGATCTGCCTGTTCTGCTCCCTACTCTCCCTGGTGAATCCTCTGAAACCCTGAACTTCTATACCCCAGTTCTTAGATGGATGGATAAATAAATCTTTAAAAAAATATATATATATATTTATATATATATATATATAAATAATGAAAAGGAGTAAGGAAAATTGTCATTATTTATATTGGAAATTCAAAAGACTCTCCAAATAACTGTTGGGATTGTTAAGTAAATTCAGAAGGACTGAAAAAAAAAAAAATGTATTTCTCTGGGGGCCCTCGCTGGTGACGCAGCGGGTTAAAGCACAGCACTAAAAAGCAAAAGCCTCCTCAGCATGAGTTCGATCTCCAGCACTGGAGGTGACCCACATGGCACAGCAGACCTCTCCTGACCTGCCTGCTGCTCCCCTTTGCAGTGTACCTTGTCAGTGAACCTGTTCTGCTCCCTACTCTGTCTCTGGTGAATTCTCTCACTGCCCCTGCACTTCTGGCTTGTACCCCAGTTCTGTATACATAAATAAATAAATCTTAAAAAGATATTGAAAAAAAATATATATTTCCCTGTACTAGAGCAGTAAGAAACAAAATTATTTTAAATGATCGTTTTCATAGTATCATAAAATATCAAATATATGGGAGTAAATCTAAAGAAATTTGTCAAGACCTCTACATTAAAAACAAAGCTGAAATTAAGGAAAAACAAAATAAATGTAGAGATATAGGCATACTCAATGATGAACTCAATATTGTTAAGTCGCTTTTCCCCAAACTGAGCTACAGATCAAAATTCCAGCAGTTTTGGTGAAATGTACAAGATGAGCAAGATGATTCTAATGTATACAAAATATACAAAGAACCTAGAATAGCTAAGACAATCTACAAAAAATGAAGGATTTAGTATAAACCTAAGGTAATAAAGAGAGTGAGGTACTGACACAGTTGAAAATAAAATGGCTAGGGACATGTCCAGAAACAAGTAATCCAAAACCTCTTACTTAGCTTTTCAGCTACTTATTTCTACATAATACTTGGCAGATTCTTTTTATTCAGCTGAATTCTGCAAACTATTTTATTGCCTGACAGGAAGCCTGGAGGCTTTTCCAAAAAACCCCCAAAATATCCATGTTTACTTTTGTAGCAACGAGGAGCCGGCCACTAGTTCCTAAGTACTGGAATTACAGAGATAATTAGGACATCCTCACATTTAAAATGCTCCAGCCCAGAACAGTGTAATTACAAAAATGTAAGTGTATACAGATTACATAGCAGAAAGAGGCATTATGGGCAAATAAGTCTTCTAGAGGGTAAAATCTCAACTAGGTTTGTCAATGATGGGAGATATTTCAGGTAAAGGGGCAGCATGTGCAAAATCACATATTACTTATTTTTCTGTAAGGAATGAAGTGACTGTTGAAGATAAAATGACGATTGGTAGTGGAAGAAAGGAAGTTGAAATACTTCAGTGTTCAAGGAAGTGGAACACTTAAAAACCTTCCACTTAATCTTGCAGATCAGTAGCTTCAGGTATTCAGCGCAACATATTATGGATAGCTTTTTTCTTTTAATTAAAAGTTACTCAAAATACCCTTAACTTTCACATAGTAAATGTTAAGTATTCTGGAGCTCTCCAAAGCATTTGTGCTAGATTAGCACAAAACCCCAGAAAATAATTTTTTCTGCCATCTGGGTGACTATAGTTCAGTTCTTCATACCTGTGTCATTGGTGAGGAAGGTTACGTACCTTTCCTTTTGGATTCTGACCTGTATATATTTTCACTCACAGAAAACCCTAGTAGCAAATCGACTATTTTAGCAAAGGCATCTCTAATGCTTCTTTCTTCAACCTAAGACTGAAGTGGGCAAAATGTTTAGTTAGGGCTAGATGGAATATAGTGCTTGTTGTCATCGACCAATGCTATTAGTGATTCAACTCTACAAGAGAAAAATCTCCACTTACTTAAGCCTCTTTCAGATTAACTGGACAATAGGCCGAGCCTCTATACGGACTTTGCAAACACTAACCCCTGCAAATCAAAACTCTCGACGCTGCACTTCGAACAAAATCCGGAAGGGATGTAAGAGTTAACTTCACCCATCCCAGTTTCAAGCCCGAACTCATCGAGCCCAACTTTCGAAGTAATTGTTCAACCTTTTAGGTGAGATTCTGTTTACATCACTATTTGCAAAAATGCACTGACTTTTTTAAAGTTGGGTGGCAAAATCGCTGCTTAATGAAGGCGCGCCACGGATATTATCAAGATCAACGTCTTAGAAACCGAGGCCGCGTAGAAGCCAAAGGCTGAAAGCCCAATAACGACGCAGGGGCAGAAAGCGGCGAGGAACGCTTGAAAGGGGGCTGGGGCGGGGGGGCACAGACCACCCCCTGACTCGGCAGGCGAAGTTAAAGGGGGACAAACACAATCCGGCGGCCTGACCCGAGCTCCCGACCCTCACATGGCGGAATCCGCATGCGGGGCCGGGTCTTCGGAACCCGGGCCCGACCGGACGCTTCTGCCTCCCTACGACAGGCAAAAACTCTCCGTCCCTCTCCGCTGAGATACAGAGAAAAGAGCCCAGAATCACGCCGCTTAAATAGGCTTACTAACTTCTCTCATGGACGCAAACCAAGCGACACTTCTCACAGGAACTTCGGCGCTAAACGGTCTCGCCAGCCCCGCCCCCTTCCCGCCGTGCTGTGCGCCTGGGCATGCGCAGCATTAGCGCCGGGCTGAGTCCACCGGCTTTGCAAACGTTGTCTTTGGCCAGGGGTAGGTCGGGGGTGCCGAGGCTGGGGTGTCTCTTAGGGTGCCTAACTTTTGAAGCCAGTCTACAGGTTAGCCACATTTGGGCCATTAAAGGATAAAGCAATTAGACTTTTCTAGATTGGAGAGATGGCTTTATTGGCAAATGATGTGACTCTCGGTTGCTTTGTCCTTTAAAAACGGATTATTATTGCAGAGAGGTACATCTGTAGGCTTAAAATGACAATATTAGTAAAATACCAGGTACATAGTAAATCCTAGTAAAAGGATTGATTCTGCAGAGATAGGAGTTTCAGGCTTCTTCCATTTTGGGGATATTAAAATAATCCCTAAACAGTGGCAAAAGTCATGATATATCTTAAAAAGTGTACAGTGAAGTAAATGTGCTAGTTGTAAGGTTATAGTGAGTCATAGGGCAAAAGGATATCTTCTAGGTCAGAACAAAATAGAAAAAGCCTTGGAGAAAGACACCAGAGATAAGGGCAACAAATTCCAAAGGGGATTAGCCAAACACTCCCAGGGCTAGGGGCAGTAAAAAAGGACTCCATGTATAAGGGCTGTGAAGCAAGCAAATTTGGGGCACAATAGAAGGTTGAGATAAGATAACAATAGGATTATAAACGATATGTAATGATGAATTTAATGAAAGCCTGCCCTTGACATATCAAAAGTTCAAATATGAGGCCATTTGTAAATATGATATTCAGATCAAAAGGGTCTCTGACCTCCGTTGCTATGGTCCCTAAAGATTCTATGCAGTTAACCTGAAATTCATACATTTTGGTGGTTTTGAACACACTATATGAAATTGAAGTAAATTTCTCTGTTCTTACCTCTGTATAATAAAACTTCAGTATTTCAGTATTTGCTCTCTAGTACCCTTTCCCCTTTTCTTGTCTTGTTTTGGCTATTCTGAGCCTTTTTCTAGTAGTTTATTATTTTTATGACCATGTCTTTTTGTGTAGCTTTTTTTTTAGAGCTTGCTATAGAGATTATAATAAACATAAGTAATTTTTATAGGCTACTTTGAATATTTTTGACAATTTCTAGTGAAATCTAGAAATTTTATTGTAATCGTTCCTCACTTTGTTATAATTCGCTTTCTCTCTCTCTCTCTCTTTAAGACTTATTTATTTATGAAAACAAGAACTGAGGTATAGGCCAGAGGTGTGAGAGGATTCACCAGAGACAGAGGAGGGAGCAGAACAGGTGCACTGACTGAGATATACTGCTGAGGGAAGCTGCAGGTGAGACATGTGCATTACCTTCCTGGCAAGGGATTGAACTCATGCTGCAGTGGCTGTGGATAGCTTCATAGTGCTGTGCTTTAACATATTGCACCACTCGGAGGGCCCTGTTATAATTCTTTCATGTATTAGAATTGTAAACTCCATTAGACAGTGTTAAACTTTTTGCCATCAACCATCAACTAATTTTTTTTAAGAACACAAGAGGGGAATAATCTATTATGTTTACCCAGATATTTACCATTTTTGTTCTTTCTTCAATCTTGATGTCCCAAGTTTCCTCCAGGTATTATTTCCTGTGTATTTGAAGAATTTCCTCTAGATATTCTTTTATAGCAGGTCTGTTTCCTATTGGAGACAAAATGAAATAAAGGGGGATACATTCTTCCTATATTTCCTGACTGATGTGGCCAGTAAATTAGCATGTGACCGAAATGTGGCCAATCAGATGATCATTCTCAGAATTCTGAATCTTGTTCAGGTAATGTGATAGGCTATGTGTTCACCAAATACCATTTTTTATCCTCCTGGGAATACAGATGGACTACATTTTCTTTGTAGTTCAGTATACTCATGTGACTTGAATTCTGGACAATGGAATATGGATAGAATCCAGGCATAACACGAAAGACTGACCTGTAGAAACTTCCCAGTCTTTTCTCAAGCATTGAGAATGGAGAGAACTCCATGGAAATAAAGTTGACTAGAATAAGATGGAAAGAAACTGGGTCCCTGAGACACTCCTGGAGGTGCATTACAAGGAAATGCTATTAGTGATTCAACTCTAACTTAGTACCCAAGTTAGACAGTGTGAGATAGAAAATTTCATTTTGCAGAATTTTTAATTTGAGAGGTTATATTAGCATCTGGCTTCTCTAGATAAAAAGACAGAATATCTGGAATATTTGTTTTTAGCAATTGTAATTGTAACAGGTACAGGTTTCATGGACTCCGCCCCTATTCCAGATGCTGTAACTCCAAATCCCATCAGTACCAAGAAGAAGCACTCAGGGACTTGAGGGCGGAGCTGAGCAGCCAGGTTGGGATAAAACTAGACATGTGGGCTCTTGGCCTGGTGGTTCGCAGCTGATCGTTTTGGCGCTCAACTGGTTTTCAGCGTGCCGGTGGTAGGACATCCTAGTTAACCTGTGTTTCTCTCCCTCTTTCCCTGGGTTATTCCTTTACCTTTCTCCTTATGAATAAATCCATTTTTTAACCTTTTGAGTGTGTCCATAATACGATTGAATCGTAAGTGCACGGGTGAAGACCCACAGACAGGCAACCCAATTCACATTGGGGTGCCCTGTAACATAGTGACATGGGTCAAGCTAGTCTTACTGACAGATCTTAGGAAGTTCTTGGTTCTGTTTGTTGTCTAAACCTTTACTCATAGTTTCTGATCATTCTTTAAGCAATTTATATCCTCACCACCTATTTTCCTTATTTGAGTTAAAATAACCAGACCTTATAAGCTTTCTGTTGCTTATAATCAAGAACTTAGAGACTCATTAATTAGATAAGAAATTGAGGTCTTGAGGTCTTAAATGGTAAGTGATTTAACCCTGAGGCATAATTCATAAATGGCAAATCTAAGATTATAAACCTGACCTTTTAGCTCCTGAATCAGTGTTCTTTCTGCTTCCCTTCCCACTAACTTCGAAACCAACTGAGAAATAAGATTCATGAAATGCCACCCCCCACCCCCAAAGAAAAATGTATATATCACTTTCATTACTGGAAAACACTAGGTTCAGGGATATATCACAATGGCAGGCTTCCCTCTGGGACACTGAAGGCAGCAAGGAGCCAAGGAAAACTAGTCTTCCTTATTGGCAACTTGCTTCTACATAAAAAGAAAAGAGAAAGAGGCCGGAACACATAAAATCATTTCTCCTTCAAGCCTTTCAGTTAGAGAAATTGCTACCTCAACTGAGGAAGAATAAGAGGTTGAATAGAAGTCAATACCATAATTACTCTCCACATTAAAAAAGGGAAATAAGATACTTATGTTATCTATAGCAGATTGATAACAACTAACTTGCTTCCTTCCTTTCTTCATCCTTAGTTTCCTAGAGTCTTTTCTAGCTTGAGAATCTGTTTCTGTTTTTAAAGATTTATTTATTTATGCATACAAGAACAGGGGGGTGAGAGGATTCACCATAGACTGAGTGGGGAGCAGAACAGGAAGATCAACTGAAATGCACTGGTGAGGGAAGCAGGGGGCAAGACAGGAGAGGTCTGCTGTGCTATGTGGGTCAGCTCCCAGCCTGGGATCAAATTTGCATTGCAGTGACTGCTGATAGCTTCATAATGCTGTGCTTTAATTTGTTGTGCCACCAGGGAGGGCCTCTAGCTTGTGAATCTATCATCAGTGTTGAGCTGGTCTGATAGAAGACCAGAATCCAGGATTCCAGAATTCAGGGTGCTGACAGACATATGCCTGCAGGACTGCCAGAGAGCAGTTGTTTCAGGATAGGGAGAGAGGGACACCCCTGAAGCCCCAAACCTGCCTTCTCTAAGTTGGTTCTGCCATCTGCCGCGTCAAGACAAAACATATAAAACTTTAATGAAAAGGGACTTTAATACAGTAAATATACAATACGGAACACAAAGAATATAACTTCTAAATCAAACACCTGAAGCGACCCATCCCCTTGTGGGCAAAAGTCAACCCAAAAGGGATTGGCCCAAAGCAAGGCCGGAAAGCCTGCCACAAGACTAAAGCGCCTTCTGGCCGGGACCCATGGAAAAAGGTCAGAAATGGCCAGACAAATCTGGGAGGAAAAGAGCAAAATCAAAATCAATATAAACACTGCCATAGTCACTTCCTTACAGATATCTCACCCACATCTGCCTTCACCAGGGTCAGGAAACAAGCAAGGTTTCTTCATCACATCCTTGCTGCTGCTCTATGTGGCTTCCTCAGGTCTCCTTCTGTTTCTCCATCTGTAACAGGTACAGGTTTCACGGACTCCGCCCCCACTCCATGCTGGAACTCCAAATCCCATCAGTACCAAGAAGAAGCACTCAGGGACGTGAGGGCGGAGCTGAGCAGCCAGGTTGGGATAAAACCGGACATGTGGGCTCTTGGGGGGGCTTGGCCTGGTGGTTCACAGCTGATCGTTTTGGCGCTCAATCGGTTTTCAGCGTGCCGGTGGAGTCCACGTCAGCAGAACTGGTAGGACATCCTAGTTAACCTGTGTTTCTCTCCCTCTTTCCCTGGGTTATCCCTTTACCTTTCTCCTTATAAATAAATCCATTATTTAACCTTTTGAAGTGTGTCCATAATACGATTGAATCGTAAGCGCACGGGTGAAGACCCACAGACAGGCAACCCAATTCACATTGGGGTGCCCTGTAACACATCCAGCTTCCTTTTTTTCTCCTCTCTTGATTCCTTCTCTCATTTTTCTCTGCTCAGCTCCACCCTCCTTCTGGTTGGGGCAGGGAACCTGGAACTTCCCCTTTTCCTAAGGACCCCCCCCGTTACACAGTCCTTAGGTTCCAAGCCCAGAGCAGTCAGTTTCCACGCCCCACAAGTTCCATGTGTCAGGAGCTGCTCCGCTAGGTGAGGGCTCAGCCAGGTGAGAAAGATGTCCTTTCCACTCTCTGGTCCAGAGGCCCAGACTCTGACCAGAA